CATGTATCTATCTATCTATCTATCCATCTATGGCTCTTTTTACGCCGGTACATACATATATTCAATATAATCATTGTGTAATTATTCATGTCAATGTGCGCGTGTGCATGTGTAGACACGTGCATGTGTTGCACATGAAGATATGCCGCAGCTGTGCATATTACATTTGCAGAAGCTCACTTCTTTCTCAAGCTCTTAAGAAAGCAAGCCCAGGCTGATGGGGGGGTTGTAAGCTGGCCAAATATCTGAATATGGGAATTCAGCACTGTGGATGCCGGGCAGGCAGACTTTCCAACTCGCTCTCTCTCTCTCTCTCTCTCTCTCTCTCTCTGTCTCCCTCTCCCTCCAGCATCCTCGAGCAGGTCTCGCTCGTCCCAGGTCAGGGATGCGACAAACAGGCACTGACACAGAAAGCTCATTCAAAGTCAGCGGCAAGCAAGTCTCTCTCTCTCTCTCTCTCTCTCTCTCCCTCTCTCTCTCCAGAGCAAATCTCACTTGTCCCAGGTCAGGGGGCGAACATGGAAGCTCACTCAAAGTCAGCGGCAAGTCAACGGCTTACCTGACTCTTCAACCTAGCCAGCAAATGGAAAAAAAAAAAAAAAAACGAGCAGCGAACCTTTGAATGAATGCTCGCAAGGAACGATACAACAACCCCTACGAACCCCCAAGCCACGGATCGACACGGGCTGGAAGAAAGCCATGGAGGTTTCGGGAAAAAAATCGGCGCCTTAGAGGCGCCGATCCGTCGGCAAGGGGAAGTCCCCTCAAACTTCTGACTTTTTCTTGAGGCAAAAAGCCATCCATTCCTCTAGCCCAGTTTTCGTCTGCGGAATGCGAGTCTTCGAGGGTCCTCCCAGACCAAGGGCTCACGGTGAAGTTGAAGAGCGCGCCCTGGCACTCCGGGCGGCCGTTGCTGGGCTCGCAGTCCGGGTTCTGAGGCCCCATGAGCCAGAGAATTCCGTTCAAGACGATCCCCAGGAAGGTGTACCTTCTGGAAGGCGGAGGAGGAGGGCTAAACAAAAACGACTTTGGTTGAGTGTGCCCCGTTCTTTGGTGGCTTTAGAGGAGAACCAAAAGGAACACCAACATTTTGGAGGTCCAATAGAAAAAAGAGACGCGCCCACACACTTTCCTCGAGCAACATTTTGCTCGAAGCGCCCAGCTAGGTCTCAGCTCATGAGCGATCCCGTGCGCCTGAAGCTACTGGACGTGAGAAATCGCAGCGTGGCAAGCCTAACATATTGGAGCAACCAACAAGCGGGGATACGGAGGGATTCCCTGGGTGCCATTTCCCATTTCAAACTTAGTCAAGGTGCATTTAGGGGGAATCCTCCCGTATCCCTAGTTCCCCCTGTATCCCTGCTGATTGGTTTCCCTGAAACATAGCATCAAGCACCGCCGTTTGCGGCTACAGGCCGCCAAAAGGTCAGGAGAGCCAATCTCATCAGCCCAAAAGACCGGAAACCAAAGTGGCAACCTTTCGAGACTGGTCTCTCGAAATGGCGGACCCCCTTCTGGTTGGTATTTTTAATTGGGAAACTCCGAAAGGAAACCTTTTTATTTTAAGGAACCCCTATTTTGAGACCCCACGTAGCATGCGCCTGCCGAAACGTTTGGCGCAAGGCCAAGCTGCACGGTGATCTTCCCGAAGCCGGTGGGCGCCTTCTTGAAGGAACATGCCGCCGCCGCCCCCGAGACGAAGAAGAGCAGCGGGAGGCAGTACTGTCGGACCACGGAGATCCACCGCACCCCGAAGGGGCTGGGGTCCCTGACACGAAGGACGCGCACCAGGAGTTCAAGCAGGTGGTACCACAGCTAGGGCACATTTCAACGACGTCAGCCAATGCAAATTTGTGACCACATGCTATTGCACATGAGCCTCGAGCCCTCAACACACCTTGAATTTCTCTATCTGGCGGCCGGAGCCCCTTGCGCGCTTTGGAGGCAATCAGCCAATGGACCTCAACATTAACCATGTTCTATCAAACTCTTCGTTTGGAGGTCGAGCAGCCACATGATCTCCCAGTAAGCCCTCGGATTTGGGCCGCAGAGATCCTTCAACCGATCAAATCGGTTGAAGGTCGAATCCTTCAAACCATGCCGAGCTGAAGCCAAGTAAACGCTATGCCTTGCCCGTTAATGTTGACCCCGGATGAATAAACCCCTGCTTATTCATTTGCGGGTGTCCCTGGTTTTAGAGCGGATTTATCCCTTTTGGAGGGGCACACCCCCATATAAATAAACAGGGGCTTATGAATCCGGGGTTAACATTACCACCAAGCTGGCACAGGATTTTCAACCCCAGCCGCAGCTGCCAGGGCGCCGTTGAAAAAGCACCTTGCAGCTGTTGATAGCAAACCCCTCTTTCAATCCCCTCGGCAATACAAACTGCGGCGAGAGTCTCGAAGGTGTAGACGCGGTCGTCAGCTTCGATCTTGTCGCGCACTCCGCCAGGCATGCCGCTGCGAGAGACATGGGCATACACCACCAGGACAACCTGGACAAGTGCCACGTAAATGAAGGGCATTGCAAGCGTCAACGCGCCCAAAGGAAACTCACATGGAAACAAACACGCAGTTCAAATCTGTAGCCTTTGCCTTCCGGCTGCAATGTCTCAAGCATGTGTTTGCTGTACTTGGCTGTCATCATGTACGGCACTATGTGCCTAAACGCCATACACGGCCTATCTATTTGCTCCAACTTACCCCCGCAAATCTGCAAGCCGAGTTTCCATTACAACTTCTCGTCGCGATGCTTTGCTACAGAAACACAACATCTGGCCACTTTGGCGTGAGTTGTTGCTCGCGTCGGGCACAGGCATGGTACGGTGTAAGGTACATACACTGCTTGATAATATTGCAGCATTGGTTGAGCAAAACGCACATGCGGCGGCATGAGTGCATGCATTCAGTCATTCTCAATGTTCCAAACATCTTCCCAAATCTATCCATGACTTAAGGCAATCCTGCCTGCGCTCACTCACAATCCAAATGATTGTGACTTTTGAAGGGTGCCCTGGTTGGCGCGGCGCGTATGAAGGGATTTCAAAGGGTATCAACTTATCTCACGAACATTTCCATTGGTCCGGAGGTGCTCTGTCAACATTTCTCATCACTCCACTGATCTGCATTTTTTGCAATAAGTCCAAAACCAGACATAAGGGACCCTCAAGTCCAGGAGCATTACGCTCGTTCTACCCTCGACCTGGTGAGCTCGCTATGGGGAAATACCGAGCAGTGCCGCGTGCGGTCAAGCGGCCATCACCGCACGAAACCAATCCAGCTCATGGAATCGTCTCTTCTCGGGCGCGGACTCGACATTGCTGCTCGGATACCTGCGATGGGCCATACCTCCCATGCCTCCCAAAGCTGCAATTGCACTGGCTCGGAACCCCAAATGCACCCAGCACCGCAGGAAGCATGTCAGGTGTCTTTTTTTGATATGATACCCCGGTGTTTGGTGGCTTAAGAAAGGGAAACCAAGAGGAAAACACCATTTCCCCATTTGGGCGTCACCTTGGGCGGCAGACCCATGTCAGGCCCTTGGATCTTGTGGCCCCAAAAGTGTCGTTCTCCGATGGCGTAGGCCTCCAAAAACTTCGGTTACGACAAACCCTCGTTGGAAAACTGGCTGCGACAGAAATTCACGGACTGGCGACCCGTTTTTTTTTTGGTTTTCCAAAGGGTAGTGGCCACCAGCTATTCCATGCCCACCCAAAATTCACGGTGTTTGCTTGACTTCATTCAGTTTACTTGACAAAAGCTGGGCCATCGCTTTTGGGTGCAGCAAAGCAAGCACACGTCGCGCTGCCGCCGCTTAAGTCAGCACGTTTGGTCACACAACCGTGGAACACCCACCCAGTGTCAACAGCTGAAAGAATGAACCCACAAATGAATTGGTAATTCTCACAACTTTCACGGGTCATTTACCTGAGTCTGAAGACCAAAACGGCCATGAGCCCATATGGGTGCAATACAGCCAGACCACAGCGAGATGCGCAAAGCTGCGGCTAAGCTGCTGCTGCATCGAGCTTTTCTTCGGCAATAAAGATAAAATCGCATGCTTCTCGGGCCACATGCTGCATATACCCATTTTGCGTACACTTGCGCAAACCACCGCACATCTTCCCAAGTAAACTGAGCCCTTTCTCACAATGATGCTTCAAACCGTTCCTGTTGCAAATGGCCAGTCCTCGAATTCAACAGCGAAGGCTCCCAGGGGGGAGCTTGTCTTTGCAAACTGGGGCTGCTGCTTGCAAGGAAATTTACGAGGAAAAAACAAGGCAGAAGTTGACGTGCACGCATAAATGTCAGACAAAAGTTTATGCTTCTTGGCTGTGTTGACAAGACACTACCCGGTCAGCCGCGGATCGAATAAGTGCGGTTTGTGCAGCAGGCGTGGGACGGTCAAGTATCACACCGGGTGAAGCTTACAATAATAAAAGGCTTCCCGGGTCCAAAATTGACCGCGCGCACCCCCGTAGGTTTCTTCCTAGAAAAGCTCTGACCTTCAAGAAGCGCAACTTTTGTCAGGCCAGTGTATAGATGTTTGAAAATATACATATTATACATGGAAAAATACTTGAGCTATCTAAAGCCTGGCCGTCCGCACTTGTTCGGAGAGCGAGCAACACGCACTTACAAAACTCTGCGTTTTGGGGCACCAAATCGCCTCCTGTAAATGAAACCTTCATGGATGACAACGGAAACACAACATTTCATGAGCAACCATTTCGTTCCTCGCTTTGCTTTCCTCGGCCAATCCAACGGCTGCCTTTGGGAATCCTCATCCTTTTGGTGCCAAACACTCAACGGTCATACTGGGCTGTGGAAAGGGTTTCCTTTCATGCACCCTTGCTGACACATCCCCTTTGCGCTTGGCCCCCTCTTTTGGACAACGAAAAGGACCCCCGAAAAATGTAGACACCCTCTACTGCACGGGCTCTATTCTCCTTCAAAAAGGGGGGGGGTGGTCAATAGGCCCTCGATGCGCCAAGGCTCTGGGACAGTATGAGGCTCCACCACACCCCGCATGGAGGTGGACGGCGCCCGGGCGCAGTGCTGCCCATCCCCTCAAGGCACAAAGCTCCGAGGGATCCGCGCCCTTCATTGATCCCTCTGCAAAAACGTTTAACTTTTTGTCGGTCCAATGGACACTCCACTATTTCCCAAAAAGTTCAAGTCCAAAGATCCATAAAACACACAGCTTCATCATGTTCACAGCCGCATCCGGCTTGGGCACATGAATTCTCCGTGAGTTGTTTTTTCGGAGTCCAATTTGCCAGAAGCTCCGAGCACAGGCACACCGATTGGCTCAAGCATTCGAAGCATGCCAGGCTTGCGCCACATGATCCTTGCGCCCTCATGGGTCAGCGACCTTGGCCGCACTGGAGTCGGGCCGGTGCGAGGATGATGATGCAAGCTGGACGAAAGTAGAGATACTCATGAGATACTCAAGGGAGCAAACATGGACACGGGATGGGGATGGAGACAATCAGTAGAGATACTCATGCGAATCAAAGGATAATGGGATGGAGACAGGTGTAAGGGCACATGATGGCACATGCATCACACACACACCCACACACAGGCGAGAAAAAGCGGGTGGTGCTATGAACATGCGGAAGGCTTCACGGAGCCCTGGTTGGGCGAAGAGAATCTCAAGGAGCTATTGTCGGCTGGGACCGCCTCCGAAAGTCAAGCTGACTTCGAGAGCTGCAATGAACAAAGGCATCTTCCAAACGATTCCTTGACCTCTTGCGAAAGGAATGAGAAACTGAATGATGAATACAAAAAGAACACACTTGACTGTCTCGAGCTGCAACTGAACGGAGCCAAGGCGGGAGCCTTGCAAACATTTTGTTTTTGGGTTTTGGGCAGTTTTGAAGTGGAATTTGCAAAACACAATGGCATGCAACGGCGACATGGCAGCAACCTCCGGCCCCTTTCAGTCTCAGGCTGTACGCTGCCCAGGACCGCATAGGCCAGGCGTGAGGAGAGTGCATTCTGCAGCAGGTCCTCAAGGTTTGAGTCCGGATGTTAGAGACTCATCCACCAAAGGCACAACATATTTCGGACAATGTAGCACCCTTCAAGGTCAAGCAGGCAAATCATGCAACAAAAAGCAGGCAAAACCTTTCACGCAGACTCTGCAACCTAGCACCCACATGTCAGGACAACATGCTAGCCAAAACAGGCACTGCATCTGATGGCCACAAGCCGGTGCCACTTTGTCGGAGTTTTGGCAGCCTCCTCCCCCTCCCGATGCCCCTCCAGAGCCAGATTCTGCGTGGCTGCTGACATGCTTGCCTGGCAGGCGTTGGGCGCACAGCTTGTCGATTTGGCTGGACATGGACCACTGGGTCGGAGCCACTCCCGCTCAGAACCTCTTTCCGTACTTGGCGTACTGTCCGCCACAAGGGCCAGTGGTTGAACCCCTAATAAGGACCACCAACCCAAACATCCCACAAAGGGCAACCTAGCAGGGCAGCAAAACGACTGATGCCATGTGACCCTCCAAGAATAGCCTGGTATTGATTTAACCGCCTTGTTTTTAAATGTGAAAGAACGAACTGCAGCATTTTGACTTACTAACAACACAAAGGAATCCATACTATTTTCTACGATCGTGTCTCGCAGCTGACAAACCCCACGAGCTTACACACACACCGACTCGCCGATGTCAAGCCAACAAGTGGTCGACCCCACCGTTCTCCCGCCAATATGGGGACCGCTCTTGTGGCTTGACCTTCTTTAATGGGTCCCGAACCCAGGCAACAAGAGTAAACAGTGCCAATACAGTGCCACGTTAATTGGTGGGAGGGTGCCCTTTTTAATGTTTGTGGTACCGGGAAACCAGATCAAACCGGCCGGTTTTGGTTTTGAGAGACCCAGTTGAACTCAAAATCGGCCTTTTGGCTTTTTGATTCCCCCCGAAACCGTCAGGTTCCATGTCAATTGGCGGGAGGGGCCCTTTTTCGAGACGCACCCAAGTCAGTGTGACCGAACCGGCCTGAAAGCGCTTCAGGAAGCGCTCGCCGTCCACCAGCGCCCTCAGAAGCTTCCAATCCCCGCAGGTGGCGTGCGCCTGGCGGTCACCCGGCCGGCCGCCGGCAACCGAACCGCGGCTCCAAAAGGTACACACCGCCGCGCAAAAGGCTGGGTCAAAATTAAACCACCAAGCTGCAGGCTTTAGTCCTTGCATTTCACCGGGCTCCTTTTTGGGTACCTATTTCTGACCCACAGCCAAGTGACACAAAAACAAAACAGGGGCCGCCCCATAAGAATCAAATCAAATGTGGTGATAGGGGTTTCAGTTCTGCGCTCACGGGTGTACAATGGTTGTGCTTTTATCATTTATCCGTTTATCAAGGCACTTGTTTGGAGCTAAGCAAGTCAGTCGCCCAACTTCTGGTTGGTCGACACATAACGGGACTGCGCGCGCGGGCTTGTGCTTGCTTGCTCGCGCAGCGCGTGTGGCGCGCTTACGTTTGCTTGTTTGCTTTGCAGTTGGATGATTTCTCCTCTGCTCGCCACCAGGTGCTTGCATCGCACTTGTGGCATGTTCGGGGCTTTGCCCTAGGTTCGCGTGCCCCACTCTCTGGCACCCTACGGCACGCGAGGGTGGTTGGGGGTAGTTGATGCGCGCCCATGCTGGGTTTTGGCATATGCTATGCCTTGGCCAGTTGGCATATGTTATGCCTACTTGGTCAGATAGCGCTACCCACTCGTGAGAAAGATGAGCGCCTGCTTCCCATCTTTCGTACTGCATCACGGCAAGCCAAGGTCCATCGAAAGTGGCCGCAGCCAAGGTGCGTGGGCATTCTGTTCAACACGTCATGTTTCAAGGATTGCCGCATTGAAAGATGTAAGCTGCTTAACAAATAGGCTTGTATTGTCAGCAGCAGCTATTGCTTGCTTGCCCCCTTGTTCATTTGACAGCTTGATGCGCTAACTTTGGGCCAAGCCGTCCCCTCTCCCCGCCCCCTCCTCCCCTCAACTTTCCTCGGTTTTTTCTGAATCTTACATCGGGCAGACGTTGACTGTGCACGCTCAAACCCTCATCATCCAAGACCCCCATCCATCTGGTTCATTGCTTCCGCTCCCCCCCCAAAAAAAGAGAGAAAGAAAAACCAGCTGACCCTACTGAAAAGCGACGTGTTAGCGCCTCTTATTCTCATACCAGCACCGAGCCTCGTGGCTTGGACTGCTTCAACCCTCCGAAACCGGCGAGAGGCTGGCGGTTGCGGCCGCCCTCTGAAAGCCCGCCGGCGCTGCGGAGCCATTTGCGGCCGAGAAGAGGAGCTGACGGCAGCGGAAGCTGGCCATCCTCAGTCCCATCGCTCAGCGCGATTGCGGGAAGGCCGGTGAAGGCCGAGGGATGGGATCTACCCTCCACGTGGAAGCTCCACCAAGTGGCAACTTTGCAAATGGAAACAAGTCTTCCAAAGTCCCTTTGGAGCTTCCATGTTAGTCTGGAGGGTTGCTTCATTCTCCTGTCCAAGATGAACCGACATGAAGCTGCCAGCAGAATCCTCAGATTCGGAACCTGGCATCCTTGGGATTCGAGCCGTGGTCGAGCTGTTCTATGACACTAATGGGAGCTAGATGGCTCGGACCTTGGGCATGCCAGCATTTCTTTCCCTCAGTTGTTCAGTGACCCTGGACAAAAAAGGGAACCCTTTTTAGTGAAGACCATTTTTAGTGGGGCAGCTACCCCAAAAAAAAAAGAAAGAGGAAAAGGGTGCCACTGAACAACAGAGTTCCATTGTCCAAGGCCAAGATCCAAAAGAGATCAACCAAAAGGCCATCCTTGAGGCACACCTCACAGCCACATGACACCACCCATGATACCACAAGATGCCTTCCAAACATCAGCATGAGCACCCTGAAGAAACCATGGTTTCCAACAAAAAGATGCGAAAGAGAGGTACATATCCTCCAAGAAAACGGGCATGTGTCCAGATTGCCTTGTTGGCCGAATCAATGTGTGCTTGGAGCCTGGCAAGTGCTGCTGTTCTGGCGTGCCCTGCAGCATGATGGCCTGCCCAGCACCCGAACTGGCATACTGAATCCCACATAACCCGCTGTAAACGACGCGACATGGGAAACCACTTCTGTCCGGCAGCCTGGCAGAAGGATAAGATGATAGAGTTCGAACAACCCAGTCAAGCAGCCCAAGACCGGCCCAAGCTGCACTTCTCCAGTAGAATCTGGCTGGCTGAAAGGGCATCGAGGCAGAAAAGCTCGCTCATGCTTGAGTGCAACCCCGGCTCCTTTCATGGAAACAGCACAACACAATCTGGTTCTAGCCGACGACTGCAGGTCTTGGTCGCTGCTTGATTGTAAACTTGTTTGATTCTCAAAGGCCCAAATCACTCTGAAGGGGAAAATGGGAAGTTTATGAAATCTTATAAAGTATATACGCGCCAGCAACCTTCCGGCGCCTCCGCACGGAAAGCGTTTGCACAACCTTGGCCTCAGTAACTGGGCTTCCCCCACATGCCGCTTGTCCAGCTTCCGTCTCAAGTCCTCCCAGTGCCCATATCGCGCCATCAGCCCAGGTGCCGAGCTGCCTCTGTTCTGAGGGCCGGGCTGTAGCCAACCCACCCCCAGGGTGTCTGAACCTTAGACAGGCAATGCCTGTGACTCTCGGCTACGTTTGCTTGAAACGTTCCACGCAGCGAAGGAAGTGGCCCCACTCTAGAGCAACCCCAAGGAATAGTCAGCTGGAACGTAAGTGGCAACCAAAATCCGAAGCGTGATGCTGGCGAAAGAGGATAACCGCACCGACAAGCCTCAGTTCCATGACTCACTTTCGTTCCGACAAGACCTGCAGTGGATGCTATGGCCACACGCTTGGAAAGTTGCTGTGGCCACACGCTTGGAAAGTTGCCCTTGCCCTTTCGCACCCTCGCTGCGTGCATGAGCGCAAACAGACCATACATGGACATGCGCACAACACGCGGACGCCCACCCCACCCCACCCCAACGCAAATGCAAACACGCAAGCACGCAAGCTTGCAAACACCAAGCACCAAGCACGCACACGCTCACGCACGCACGCCAGAGCAGGCACACACAAGGGTAGTCGTGACAAAGAACAAGGAAGATAGAGGAAACGTGAGTGAGTGGGTTGGCGGGGAGGTCGGCAAGGCGTGCGCGCGTGCGCGCGCAATGGTACCATCCTGGTTGGTGTCGCGTGCGCGTCTGCATGCACAGGATCATTGTGGTGTGCGCATGATTGCCCCGCGAAGTGGTGTGCCAAAATGTCACCCATGCAAAGCCTCAGAGTGAGCTGCCTGCGCGCCAGGCAAGGCCAGCTTGAACTAAACATGATCTAGGGCCCAAACGCGCTCTTGCACAGCACGCTCGACCATTGCCGCCTAAGCGAGATTGTGCAGCAGGCCGTCCACGGTGCTGATGTCACTGGTTCATTGGGATTGTGGGGGTTGTTGCGTGGCATTGGTGCGGAATGGGGCGGGGGTGGAGTGGGTTCGGTCAGTCGCTCGTCCTTTGTCTGTGTTTTCTCAAGGGGGTCTCTACATACGGCTGTTGCCAGCAAGGCTCTTGAGATAATGCCATAGGTGCGCTTTGGGGACAATAGATGGCCCTGGTGGATGTTTCAACCAGTAGGTTTGCCAGGGCTTGCTATCTTAAGTCTTTAACCAAAACTGCTCAACCTCAGGGCTGCCCCTGTTTTGATTGAAACATCAGGTCGTAATTTTGCCAAACGTGACCCAAACAAATTCCGTCCAGGACACTCATGTGGCACATTGGCGCATGGAATTCAGGTGAGTCGCTAGCAGGATCTGACCGTTGCACCTGTGATATGCAATTCTGCGCCATCCAACACACGCAAGAAAGCCCTGGCGCCCACTAAGGCCCGGCATTGTAGTCCACCGACTGCAAGGTGGCAGTGTCGGCCCGCACTACCTTGAGAGCTCACCGTGGTCAAAAGGCACGCAGTGGAGTCACAAAATCACCAGTAGCGACACGTATACAAGCCTTTGCGAGCATTCCCGTCACATAATCTTAACGACACGTAGCAGGCAGCATTAAGCGTTCTCTTTGTTACAACTTGTGCTTCAGCCAGACCTGCCGAATGACTACTAGTAGGCAGCCTCGAGCAAAAGTGAGCAGCATGTCAACTGGAAGATTGAGTAAGCTAAGGAGTCAGCAAGGCGCAATCCAAACCATTCAGTGTTTCCAAAATCGAGGTCTGCTAAGCCGGGTGTTGCTAGAAGGTTTAGAAGGGGAAGTGCATAGCTTTATGCACAAAGACTGTGTAAAGTACCTTGTTGCGGATTAGTGACATAGTTGTGAGACAAAACAACCCTGTAAGGTCTCGCCATGTCAGAAAAAGAAAGAAACAGCACATGTTCAGGTGCTTGCCAGCCCAGCATTGATGAACATGAATGACTGACTCGCCAAACGACAACCAACAAACACAGGACAAGCAGCAAAATAATCAGCCTTGCCTTAGGGTGTTTGCATCTAGCTCAGGTTCCTTTGGCGGAAGAATCGCTAACTAATAGTGCGCGGCGGCCGGGAAAAAATCGCGGTGCTCGGGCCCAACTTCTCCCCAAAAGGCCCAACTTCTCCCCAAAAGGAAGCAACAACCACGTTTCCAGTCAAAATATCCAACTAAGAGCCTTGCATTTCTACTGTGGCCATTTCAACCCTTGCACGCCGAGTGGCCAAGCAAACGAGACCCGGAGGCGCGAATGTAGTAAGCTTTCCTTCTCCAATTGCTAATCGTTGGAATCACTTGGCATGCCCCTTCCGTCAACACCCCAGCTATCCCCACAAGTGGTAGGGTTTCAAAAAAAAAGGACCCCTTCTGAAGTCCCGGCCCCATGTCACACAAACCAACGCACGTGCATTCGGCACTTCGGCTTCCCAACTCTTGGTACATTCGCAACATGCAGCCAGCGAAGCCTGCCAAAAGACGATGAAGAGACCCACCAAGCAACACAGACTAGCCATGCCAAGAGCGGTGACCCTCCCAGCCTCAACGCCCCTCAGCTGGCGAAGCCGGGCGTAGGTGGCGGCCTTAGTCCATCACTGCAAGGGGCTCGTGTCATTTTTGAAGGTATCCGCATGGAGACTGGGGCATCCTCAATAAGGATGGCAAACACACTGTGTTCTGTGCGGCCCAACTCCTCACCAAAGCCAAAATGATCAGTAAAGCCTGTATTTGTTTGGGTTGGACAAACTGGGCCACAGGCAAGCAAGGGATGTAACTAAACCTTGGCACATGAAAGTCCCCGCAACTAGGAACTCGTTTAGCTTTGAATTCCGACCCCTGTACTATCAAGAGGTTCTTCCTTCCTGTAAAGGACTCCCTTGAGCGCGAGATAGGTTGGACCTCTCGTTGGGCGCAAATGCGCCAGGCCCAAAGCTCCTTGGATCATGGTCCCTCAGTAAGGACCTTAATGGGTGTCTGGATTCCTCACCAAATGGCTGTGGGTCAAAAATAGGTACTCAAAATGGCACCCTGGTAAATGGAAACAATGACTAAAACCTGTGGTCCCCTGGTGGTCTAATTTTGACCCGTACCCACATTGTCTGGACAACAGCGTCAGGTTTTGCCAAAAGACAAGTTGGCTTTCCTTTGCATTCCCCCGTAATCAGTAATCTACCTTGAAGCCATACCCCAGCAAAAAAGGCACATCTTGGAGCCGAACTGTGTGTCTGCTTGTTGAGGGCCCTGTGTTCGCATTGGTTTTCAGGGATACCCGAAGGACCCAGCCATTTTTGGGGTAGCCCTATGTGACACCTGCCATGGGCTACCTACTTCGGCCTCGGCCCGGTGCCATCTCAGTGCCCTTCTCGCCCTCGGTGATCACCTTGCGACTTCGATGGGAAATTGAGAAATGGAACGATCCCGAGAAAAAACTCCATCCTATGGCTTCCTGTAAGGGAATCATCACTTCCGGTTTCTTCCCAAAACTTTCGGCCATGCCTGCTGAGCACCAGCAAGTTTGGGGTTTACTGGGTTTAGGTCCCGAACTCAAGAACAAAAGGGATGTAGAGGGTCTTCGATTTAAGCGGCAGCGGGTGCCTTGCAAGCAAGTGGCCCAGAAACTGGTACTGAGGCTGGGCAAAACCCCCTAGGGCACAGTCCGAAACCCAACACTTGGACTCAAAGCCTCTGCGATCAAGCCTTGGCTTCATGAAAGAAAGCAGGGCTTACACAACAACTCTTTTGGAGAGTTGGCTCCCCCCCATTTTTTTGGCCTGTGGGTCAAAATGCGTGGACTGATCGATGCGTCGCCCTCTAAACCGCAACCAAGGGGCGCCCATGGCAGACACAACTGTGAAGTTGAAGTGCCCAGGGGGCTCCTCGATGACCAGCTGGATCAATCCTCATTTGGCTGTGGTTGTCAAAACCGTTTTGGTATCCCATTTTTGGGTAGGCGAATTTGCAATTTTAGAACCGATTTTAGTGGGCATTGGGATGTTTACTGGGGGTACGGAATTTTGACCCATGGCCATCTGTGTGCGTGTGTGTGTGTGTGTGCGCGTGTGTGCGCACGTTTGAGCTTAATAGGGCCTCCAAGTAGCCAAGTCTTCTTGAACGGGGGACCACGGACATGAAGAAGCGGCACTGGGAAAATCCAGGAAGGAGCTGGGGTTATACAGATCATCTGGTGAAGGTGATGCAAGAAATTGGAAATGCTAATTCTGGGCGACGCGTGCAAACTGTGGGTGGCAAACGGTAGCAGTCTCCTTAGTAACTCAGTGGCCATCAGAAGCAAGACTCCATTTTTTGAGGGGCGTGCTCAAGTGTATTGAGAATAACCCAGTTGGAATCAAGGGAGGGTGCCACAAACAACTACTCACTTGCCCGAAACACGCGGAGATACAGCTTCACCTTTTGAAGCGTTGGCCATGGACCACGCATGGCGCCTGCTTCTTCCCTCTGGGTGCTGGGCCGTCGCTGCGGTACTTGCTGCGGTCTGCAGGCCTTGAGCCGGGCCGACCGAAGCATCGCAGCAAGCGGTGTGTTTCAGGTGAAGCCTTGGGTCCTAAATCTGTACACCCGCTCTTAATCCAAGAAGTGCACATGCTGCCCAAGAAGAAACTCTACCAACAAGCCTGTGGATGTGGCAGAAGGATGCGCAATCAAAAGCAATTCGTTGCAACGCAGCGTGATGTTATCTTGATTTCTACCGTGGCAGGCATGTGCGCAAGCTCTTTCGTGCTTCAAGCCTGCCACATCTCGCCCCCAACTTTCAGTCTCAGCACCAGCCCGCACAACACTTCACACTCACCGGCTCGCTTCGCCGGTCAAAACTCCTTATGTGGGTCATCATAGTTCCCGTAGAAGCCCGTGTGGCTATAAAGGATCCTTACCACCTGGATGACCATCCCTAGAACCCCCACGCAAAGCGGAGTTTTGACTGCAAAGATGAGAAGCACTCCACCCTCTGCGGCACTGGCTCGAAGAAAAGCACCTGGAGATCCCGAGGTTTTGGGCCTCGTTCGACTTCCTGAACTCGCCAAACCCCATGAAAACGGCGGATAAGCAGGACGTGCCATTGCTCTTTGCATGTTTCTTCAGCTGAAAATGCATCAAACAGGTCAGTTATTGCCAGCTCTTGAAGTGTTGCGCGCTCAATCCAAGATCATGGCTTGTCAAACCCGTCGCAAAGCAAAGAACAAATCCTGCAGCCGGAGCCCCTCAATGTTCATATTCGCCACAGGATTTTCTTGAAGGAGCACGTCCCCTCAGTTGAAGAAAACATGTGTTCGTAAATGACTGGATGTTGCCTTCTGAACAGGCCACGGGGCGTTGGGTCAAAAGCAAGCCTAGGCCTAGAGTTGAACCACTGCAGCCTCATCCGAGAAGTATGAGAAGTGACTGATGCAGAAGCGGCGGCTAACAAATCAACAAACACATCTTGAAAGGTCGAACAGGTGTGCTTTTCCGGAACTCGTGGTTTCACTTTCAATGACTATTGGTTGCAGTGCTTCAAGCGATGCAACAATCCTTAAAACAAAAAAGGTTCTGATCCGGAAAGAGTGACTCACAACTGGAAGGAGTGACACCCCACAGCAGCGTCTGCGCACAGGAAGATTTCTTTCCATCACACGTGCAAAAATGCAAATGGCGCCTTGCAAACAAGCAAAGAGAGAAACCAGCGTCACATCCAGCTGGACCACAAAAATCGGATGCGAATGCACATCTTCAGCAAACATCCACAAATTGCTGTGGTCAAAACCCCGTACCCCCAGTGTACATCCCAATCCCCACTAAAATAGGTTCTAAAATGGGTGCACCTACCCGAAAATGGGATCCCAAAACGGTTTTGACCCACAGCAAAATCAGAACCTGTGTTCGCGCCTCAATGAGGCAGTCTACGAGGCACGCCTCGCTGGCCGGGGTCTTGGACCACCTGGACAAGCGACGCTTCTGGCGGGGCGATGCCAACCTTTGGTGATACCAGGGGTTCATACCAGCGGTTCATACCAGGGAGCTGCTAAAAGTGACTAACTGTTAGTGGTTTAACGGAAACCTATTAGTTGTCGAAAAAAATAAGGCCTAACATCCAAGCAAAATGCTCCAAAATTTAGTGGTGCGATAGGTTGGGAATGACTCACCGAGTTTCCGGGTGGGGATGGACCGGTTTGCGAGGAGTCCGAATAAAGGAAAGCATAGGATGGATGATCTGTGTTCTTTTTTGGGGGGAGGGGGTCCTTCCATTTCCCAGTCCCTGCCTATCGCACCAGTACATGGACCAAGTAAACAAACACCACCAGAAATCCAATCAGAGCTCGTCTTCACAAGCCCAAGGCTGCAGGTCCCCTTTGGTTTTGGCGCTTTGCACAAGCAAAGCCGGAAGGCAAACCATCCGCGCAGCGATCCAATCTGGGTGAATTATAATATTTCACCAGCCTGAAACTCGCGGTGGTTGGGGGGGCCATTCCCCACCTAAACCACCATTTGGGGTGACTTCGGTCGTGTGAGGTCGTTATAATTCAGATCCAATCACCAAAGGGACTAAAGGGAGTGACAGGCATGGAAGAGGCATTTATCAATTTGCAACTTGGTTGCTGGAAGGACCCCCTGCGAAAACCAAACTTTATTTTCCAGAAAGTTAAAGCCTAAAGATCCAACCCAATAGCAATCAAGGCACTGAGAACCTCTGTTGGGACCTTCAATAGCCAACTACTTGTGATATAGAGTTGGGCTAAAATGGAGCAAGGGAACGCCTTCCTTCCCTCAGTTCATGGCCCCCCAACCTACCTGTTGACCCAAACAAGCACCAAGGCCTAGCCCCAGTCAGAGCCTAGCACATCCAAACTGAGTGCCGCGCAGCAGGTCACATGCCTTCTTTGCACCTCAGTGAGGCCCCTTGGAAACTGCGGGTTGAACCAACGCCCGGAAACATCTCCCGATTCCTCTTTCATCTCCGCTTCTACGTGCCGGCTGTCATTGTTGGCTTGCAAAGAAGTTGCCTTTTGAGTTATGCGGATTGCTTTCTAAACTAACTGATTGGATAACCAAAGGCGACCCAGTTTGTCAGGAAAATGGGGCAGGCGGCAGGCGAACAAGAGAAAGCCTTTTCACTCTAAACCAACCCTACTCCCACCCTAAACCAATCCACTCACCCGGGCCCAATCCAATCGATCGGGTGGGTCTTAAATGGTTCAGTGCCAACTCATTTGGGTTATATAAGTCACTTAACCAAAATGACTTGGAATTGTGCCACCTAGCAAGCCAAGGAAGGCTAAACAGATTTCGCCAGCTTCCTGGATGACAAGGTGCATTCCGAACGCCACTTCTGGAGCCCTCAGCAGAGTCCGGCATGCGCGGGATGCGGAAAACTTGGGGCATCGGCCCTTGAAGTCCGAGTGGGTGTGGCTGAGCTGTGCATCCAGCCATTTCCTGCCATCCCCCCCAGCTATCGGGACAAGGGATTCCAAAACTGCCCGGCGTCACTGGAACTGACATCCTAGGCCACATCCCCGAGTAATTGGAAAAGCCAGTGGGGACATTGACCCCCTGCAGGTGTCCTTTAGGGAATTTAGGCACCATGTGCCATTTCGCACCTGAAGGCAAGCGTATAGTTCGCACTGCAGGACGCGAAAGGTTGGCCAAGCATGGTGAATGAAGGCCCAGCACTCCTGTGCCCCAAACATCGTCTCACCGCACCTTGTTTCGTCGATGTCCATCTGCATGTTCCGCAGTACAGATACCACCGTCAGCGCCTAGCACGCGTTTTGGGGGGACCGGGTAGGATGTTCACCCGTCACAGGCCTTGCAGTTGAACCATTTGCGTCCAACACCACAATGTACAATCGATCATTTGTGTCTCCTAGTCACACCCCGAAAGGACACTGCGACTCCAACATGGCAACCCTTGGCGCGTCACCAAGCAGTATGGCAACTCTTGTTTTGATCTACGTCCTCCTGAGTCGTTAGTTTGGTCAAGCGCCAGGGAAAATGTTTGCCAAAGCATAGGTGACCTTCTGGAAACATGGATGGCCCCCCCAATAAAGCGGAATAGCAAACCTTCTCTAAACCAGTGGACCCCGTCTATTTCTAGCGAACAAATCTATTTCCAACCCAAGCGAACCTAAGGCCACCGAACGTGCCGAAGCAAAAAACACCAACCTGGCTCACAGCTCCAAGGCTGGGGGCAGCGGCATCGTAGTTCCGCGCCCAGAAGCCATGGAACCAATCCTGGTGCCTGGAACGCCCGTTTTGGCCGCTTGGGTTTCGAAACCGATCAGGCGACCCATCAGGTTGGATTGGATTTGGATTTGAGTCCCTGGCTTTTGAAAGGAGGGGAAATGGTTGAACCCCTGGATCAAGAAACACGGTCGGATTCAGGAGAATGAGTGGGGCTTCCACCTAAGATGAATGAAAGGCCACACAGGGCAAGGCGAACGAGTGGGGGGGGGTTTGCCCCCGAAGATGAAAGACATGCAAAAAAAATGTCATTGCTGAATTCGAGTCAAGTATTGATTTGCATCAGGTATTCAATAAGGGAGGAACGTCCGAAGGTCCGAAATGCCAAAGGGAATCCCCGGAGTCAAGGAGGGATTTGCGGATGTCGCCGGATATCGTCTTCACTTTTTCATAGAAACCAGCTACAGGAAATTCTACAGGAAACTCACACCAAAATCAAGGGTTTCCTGTGGAACTTCCTGTGGTTGGTTTGTTAGATTTTTTGGACTGCCTCGCAGCAAGCAAACCATGGGGCTCCGGCAGCACTTCTGGGCTCGCCTGACGGTTGCTTGCATTCCGCAAGTTCGACTCAAATAGCACCAATGATGATGATGATGACGATGATGAAGATGGAGGAGAAGGAGGAGGAGGAGGCGGAGGATGATGAGTGAGAATGAGGAAGGGTGATGGGTCAGCCGACGTAAGCTAAGACACACTGACACACACACACACACACACACAAAAGAACAAAAACAACATGCCACACGCAAGGCAATGCGTGTGATGCATTCACACATCTACATGCGCACAGCAAGAGCTGTAAACATTTCCGATTCAACGTGGTTCGTCTCAAAACGACCGGAACCTGCAAAACGGGCACTCCACTGACACGCCTGGAGCTCCGTTAGAAAGACAGAAAGCGCGCCTGCAAGGCATCTTTACACGCCGCAAAGGCATCCAGGTACAGCCTGGGCAGCATACTTTGACTTGCACCGCGGCAGCGGGTATTGAAACAAACTATTGCGGTGGTTTATCGAAAGAATAAAGAAAACACAACTGGGTTGATCCGTCAAAGACCTCCCATCACACATGTCCTACTTTGCGCAAACATGCCCCTGCAAGGATGCAGCGCCCAAGTGACTGTACAGTTTGGATCTGGCAAGCCCCAGACTGGAACCTCAGGCTCAACGTCTAATTGCCATGAGGGACCAAGTTGTCATGGGATTTGAGAGGCCCGCGTGCAAAATCCCTGTGAGGGGGAGCAGTTCGAAAAGTTGGCCAACTACCCAGCAGACAACCACGGAGCTCCTGCAAACAACGATATGCCGATGCATCCTGCCCGAACCGTCCGGATGGCAGGCGAAGAGCAACATGTCAAAGTACCCTCTTGCAGACATTTGTGGTGTTCCAAGGCACGTACAGCTGAAACTTTTTGTCGTCCACTACAGTTACTGCGGATGGACGAAATCCTGTGCCGCCTAAAGAAGACCTGTTTCTGCTGATTCCACTGTAAATACCAACCAACGGTGGCTTCAACCACTGCGAAATGGATTTCGCCACCATCCCACAGTATAACGCCACTCCCACGCCGAAAACAAAACGCGCTTCAGCCAGTCGCAAGCTGCACCGCATTTTCTCAGCGCCTTCCTCTGACGAGCTCAGTCTGTGCGAAAGCGCTGAGAATGACCTCGGCTGACCCAAAGGAAGAAGGCCGTTGCAACTTCGATGCCGCAAACAGGGATCCTTACATTGAAAATGGTGGTTTTCCTATATTTGGTGGAAAAAAGCCATGTTTCAAATTGGCAAAATGTATCTTTTAAGGAGCCCTGACAAACAAACAAAGCTTCCGGCTCAGTGCCAAACAGTTAGTGGTGACCACTAGGTTGGTAAAACAATGATAAAATGCCGCTTGCCCGCACATGATTCCAGGTGGACTCTCTGACGGAAATGACTCCGGCGTGACGCCCAAAACAAGACATGCTGGACACTTTGTCAGCTTTCTCAGCGAACTAGGCAACTCTGGGCCCCCCGCGCGCCCGGGCTGCCGCAGGCAGGCTCACAGCTTCGTCTGCGGCTTCCAGCCCATCCATTCGTCAAAGCCTGCCTGCGGGGCGTTCAAGACTCGTCATTTCAATCGCACGTCGCCAGCAATGGCCCCAGGTTCATTTTCGTAGCTGTGCGAACCAAATGAAGTGCAACTTCCTCAGCTGGACAGCTTGGTCCTGCCTTCCACTGGAAGAAGTATGGCTCCTCGGGGTCTGCAAGCAACGAGCTCCCTCCATCACATGTAGCCGCCTTTAAAAAATTGCACGGGTGAGCTAACCTATTTATTCTCTCTTGTGCTTTGGTTAACTAGAAGTGTTCGGCTCGCCCCCACTTGACGGCAGCAACCCCACCAGCCACACCTGACTGAACCAGCCAACAAAAGCCATTGAGCCCTGAGCATCGCATACAGCTCTTCCATGTGGGGAGCTATCAAGAGTGCAATTAGCGTGCAGCCCTTTTTTAACCCCCGGTGCCGCCTTGAGCAGGCTGTTCAAGGGGATGTCAAAACGGGACCCTAACTTTTAACCACCCTCATGTGCCCCTGCAATGGCAACCGCCCGAAACCCAATCCCCGCTGCTTGCTGAGCCCCAGGCGGGGTTGTAGCCCTCCTGCCGCTTGGTCTTGGGGTTCAATGGCTCCACTGCCTCAGGTCGGACTTGGCAAAGCTCAGCTGCTGTTGAACAGGGTCCACACGCATGGCCTCCCATCCACGGTGGGCATCATTTGGGGGAATTCCAAGTGAGAAAGTGTTCCTTTTGCGCCAGTTCATGCGCCATGTGCCGGCCAGGCCGCCATAATGTACAGGAAGCCCATCGCGCTTGCGGCGATCGCCAGAACCTGGCCCAAAAGGTCAGCAAGTATCCCAAGCCTACGAGCCATATCAAGCTTGCTGATTTGGTTTGTGACCGTGGCAGCTATCCAATGGCCTGGGGGTCTGGTGGCAAGTGGCTGAAGTTTCGTCAACAGTCAACATGTCCTCAAACAGTCAGAGTTCTCAAGCCTCACGCGTTCACCAAACATCTGACCCCCAGGTTCACCCCCCACCCCCATTTTTGTGCGTCCAGTGGGCGATGCCCCGGGCGTTCGCACCTTGGGGTCGAAGGACGCCATCGCGGCGCAGAAAATTGGGCACGGCGGCACGGGGCTCTGAGCCACGAGCCACGAGTCTCATGCCAAGCAGGCAGGTGACCTGGAAGAAGAGCCGGCATGGTGCTTCTTCATCGAGTGCAAGGTGCTTCAGGCAACTTGGTCCTGAAAAAATAGTTGTAAACTTGCTGGTTCTCAGGAGCCCTATGAACCATCCCCGATCCTTTAAGGGAATCCCGAGGTTCATTCCCGACACCCAGATTCGGTCATTGCATTCTGGGCAAGTAAAGGAGTACATGCCATGAAGTGAGGCTTCCGTCCAAATGTTCAAAGCAAAGGGCTAGCTGAATCGCGGCTATTTCTAAGCGAGCCTCCAATTCTTCGGAGATCTTCCCATGAAGCCTTTCGGCTTTGGGGGAGGATTCAAAAGTAGCAAAAGCTGATGGATGAACCACTGGCGTAAAAACAAAAAAGCACAGTTGCCTATTCTCAAAGCCTCCACCGCCTCCACCCCCCCAAAAAAAAACAATAATAGTAAAACACATGTTACACGGAATCTCACCAGACAGTGGCTTTTAGTTCCTAAGCAATGGGTCCACGGGAATCCCTTCCTGTCTCTGAGGACCCCCGCTGCCGTGCTGCAGACCGCAGCTCCGGCTCTTTGGGGCCACTGGGGGGGCCTTGGACGAGTGAGTCACTTGCGTGCCGCTGCTGAAGCCAGGGGGTGGCAAGGTGTTCTACCATAGGTGTCCTTTTGGAAAAATGGATGGGTTTCCCTGGTAAATGGAGTTCAAAACCCATCTAAACCATTGCCTTCTATTTTTTAACCAAACTTACCTAAAAAGGACACCTATGCGTTCTACAATCTAACCCACCCGCAGAAAACAAACAAGGGAGAAACAACGGTTCTTATCTTAGGGATCCCCTGTTCCAGAGTTGGGGTGCCAGCTCCGGTGTTCAGGGGAAGTACATCCTTTCCGGGCGCAAACTAGTTCACAGATGGCTGCTTGTTAGAAACAGATTTAAATCGACACGTCCTGTTATTCTTTCAAAATTACTGGCTGAGGCAAAAGGGTCCCCTACGCAGTAGACTGGAGGAGAGGCTATTCTTTTTGAGTATTGGGGGCACCTGCACAAATTGGGGGGGACCCTTCAGTATTGCGGGGAAGGGATATATGATTAGTGCGGTCTAATTTGCGTGGGCCGAGAAGCTACTTCCAGTGCACCAAATGCAACAGCGCTACAGCAAGTGTTCGCCAAGTGGACAATTGTGTGCTCTTTGCATCTGTTGCATGACTTCATGATTCTAATTATCACTTACTTTAAGGCGAAGCAAACTGTTGGTAATTCAAGGTAGGTTCCGCTATCCCCAGGCTGGTGGCCACAGCAAGCCGCAAGACCTTTCCAAAGACAGGCCACGGCCCCTGTACCAGAGACACATGGAAGGATGGTCCAACAATGCTGACCAGGTGATTGAGGGTCGAACATTCTCATTGGGGCCGGCTCTGCACCCAAAATGGGTTTCGCAAGCTTCGGCTGTTGGCGCTAGGGCCCCCAAGCTGGCTGGCGGGTCGCTGAGGACACCATCATACCTCTCAAAGTGGGGCCGACTTCATTTCCCGAGTCCCAAGGCCTTCGCATGCCCAAGGACTGCAACTCATTGTCTTGCGATAGCTGGCGCTCTGGCTCTTTCTGCGCTTTGGCAGGTCATTTCTCTTGCCTCTCAGGGAATGAGAAATGGAATGCCCCCTACAACCCATCCCCGATTTGGTGTCCTGTATTCGGGAATCCCCCAAAACCGGCTCATTCCTAACACCCCGTGTCTCGTTGCCATTCCCTACCTGTCGCACCAGGTCGAATTCTACGGTGGCTCAGCGCAAGACCAATGCCGCTGGACCCAGCCATGCAACTCCACCACTTCGTGTGGCTTGGGGCTGCGCGGAAAAGTGACGATGGCACCTCAAGCGCGCACATGGTGCCACCGGGCCAAGCGGCCCGGGGGTAGCAAGGCAATTCCTGAGACGCATCTGTTTGGATTTCTGGAGGTGACTTCCATTCACGCGTGGAAAAGGGTTCATTTCCTTCAACGTGCTAAGGGCCAAGCAGGATGTAGGAGTCTTCCTACTCTTATCATGGCTCTGCTCATTTCAGAAGGGCAGTCCACTTCCCCCGCTGAATCTTCGGCACCGGGAATTCAAAAGCCGAGCTCGCGGCAGCCAGCAGGAGGCTCAGAAGCCGACACCTGCTGAAAGGGTCTCGTCTATTTGGTTAAGACCGCTGGAAAAAATGAAAACATATTTCCAGTAGTGATAGATTCCCTTTAAAACCGACAGGGAAAAAACCAATATGCTTAAGCAAATGGAAGGTCGCAAGCATCCTTTCAGAAAAGCGTATCACATCCCCAGGCAGTGTAGACACATGTTCTTCTGAGCTGTTAAAGAGGTGTGTGGATCCGCGGGGGGGAGGGCCTGGCTGCGAAACCAAACCGTCAGGGCCTACATAACCCACTCGATGCCGAGCTCTTGCAGGAATCCCCGTCCCTAAGGGGGGGGGGGAGTGGGGGACCTCTAAAATTGCAATTTATTTCTTTTTCGGAGGGGGGGTAGCCCTTGAAATATTTCAATTGTGGACCCAACCCCGCAGAAAAAATGCAACTCTATTTCACCGTTCGGTTTGGTGGCCGCTCAAAGCCCGCAAGCAGCAGTTTCTTGGAAGCGTTGTGATTATTCTGGTGGTTTTCGAGCTATTTCCCTTTAGAGGCACCAGTTTTGGGTCCAGGGCGAGTAATGTCCTCCCAGGCGCAAGCGGGAGAACCGTTTTGGTCGAGGTCCCCCCTTCGAACAGAACATATTTATTTTGGGCCCCCCGTGTTTCACAACCCCCCCCCCCTCAAAAGCGCAACAACAAATGAAATTTCACTGGGGTACTCCCCCCCTCAAATTACAATTGTTAGGGGGGAAGATTCTTGCAGGCATGGTGGACCCTTGCTACTCAAAATTGGGTGTGAGATGGTGTAAGTCGGCGTTGTCAAATCCGTTTTTTACCAGTTGTGCAAGTGCTCAACCAGGCTAGCTGGCTCAGAACGACAAAATCTCCGACTCTCAGACCGACGCCTTCGACGCGCCGTCCTCCAGCCCAGGGGCCTCAGTTTGAAGCTGGCACACAGGGGCAGGCTCAAGCTCAGCAGCCAGCTGCACTGAGACTTCTGGAGGGCAACAGAAAACAAGAAGAAGCGTCCAAATGGACAACGTACCCTGGAAACCTAGAGATACCCAGAGGCTGGGTATCAAACGGGGGGGGGTGCGACATCTGAAACAAGGGCAAGCTGCAAAGGCGCCGTCGTCGTCTCCCCCGATGCAAACGCCGCCCCGGAAAGCGGCAGTGTAGTCCACTACCTGCCAATGACAGTAGCAACAGTGAAGTGTTGCCACAAACCAATTACGGGCAAAAAACTGACCTGAAGGCTTTGCTTCCAGCCGCCATGTTGTTTTTCTCACGTTGATTGCGATGCCTGAAATAAAGCACCGTGGAATGGCTAAAGCCAATTTTGTGACTCACCCTTTATGCCGGACTCAAGCATGCTGGAATTTGTTTCGTTAGGTTTGTCAGCCTCATTCGTTTAAAGTATGGCTGCTGCAGCGCCTTTTGCGATTGCGAAGCAAGAAGCAGGGAACACACTGAGACAATGACAGCCAGCGAGACATCAGGAGAGAAAGAGAGGGAGAGAGAGACAGAGCGGTGACAGAGTGAGAGAGAGAGAGGGAGGAAAACACACACACACACACAATTTGATTGATTGATTGATTGATTGATTGATTGATTGATTGATTGATTGATTGATTGATTGATTGATTGATTGGTTGGTTGGTTGGTTGGTTGGTTGATTGGTTGATTGGTTGATTGGTTGATTGGTTGATTGGTTGTTTGATTGTTTGAGTGAAAGAAAGGAAGGAAGGAAGAAAGACAGAAAGAAAGAAAGAAAGCAACTACGCATAGAAAGACAGGGCAAGTTGGCGCGGAGGCTTTACGTCTTCACCATGCCCCGGCCATGGTCACTTCGCCCTTGAGCTTTGACCAGGTTTCCATGCGCCTTGCCAGGCAGGAGCTTCTGCCAAAGGTCGGCCCCATCCACCATCATCTCCAGCCAGTGGTCGAACCGGTGAACGAATCCTTGAGTTGAGCGAGAAAGGGAAGCAGGTCCAACCCTCGGATGTGACAAAAAACAGCTTGTTGTTTTGGCGTGGCTATGGTTTTTCGTTTGCTCTGAGACCTGCGTAAGATGTTTCTGCGGGCCTGCGTTGACCGAACATGTCTCTGCTCCCCAACTCCTGGTCAAAATAGTCGTCGCCCGCATGCGCAGGTTTTGGTTGACATGGGCGTCACCGTTGGAATTCAGACTTTATAGCGCCCATCCGACCGTTACGATCACTCCAAGGTCCGTTCCATTCAATTTCATTGCCCCAGGATTTTCTGCAGCAAACCATCCTGACGCCTCGAGTGCGTGCAAAAAGCTGCAGCTTTCTTTGTCTTTAAAAAGTGTGTGGAACATCATGGTACGGCAGACATGAAGGCAAAAATCGTCCAAGGACAATAGAGACCTAGTTGCCACATGGGTGAGGCGCTGTCTTTGCTCCGCTTTGGAGGGAAGCACAAATCATGAAGGCTTGGCTCCTCCCCGCATCATCTTGATGCTTTGCTGCGCTCACCAGTGAAGCCATGTAGGCAAAAACAACAATGGTGAGAACTGGCTGCATTTTGCGTCCTGCCAGCTGCTGGGGCATGTGCGCTTGGCAAGGCTCTGAGCTGCCAGTCAGAGACTGGCAGGGTAATTGGAAGACTTTTAGGGAACCATGCCCACTTCCGCCGCGTTGAAATTGAATAAATGCGAGTGTTGATTGCCCCATTTTACGGCACCTGTCCCCAACCCCCTCCACTCCCAAAAGCAGAGAGAAAACAACAAAAGAAAAACACAAACAACGGATTTTGTTTAGTGTTTATCAAAAAGACGCAACATACTTAAATACCCGCATTTATATAACACACACACATATATATATATATATATACAATACATACATATATATATATATATGTATATATCGGTATAGTATCGTTAAGAGTTGAACGCAATACGAACTGCACGTTGGAACCTCCCATCTTTGCTCGGGTGCGCTTACCATTTGGCTGGCATGAATACAGTGCTGAGCGGAATGGATACAGTGCTGAGAGGGTGCTCTTGAGCTGGTGGGCTAGTGCACTTGAGCGGGTGTGCTTCCCATTTCGCTGGCATGAGTACAGTGCTGAGCGGAATGGATACAGTGCTGAGAGGGTGCTCTTGAGCGGGTGGGCTAGTGCACTTGAGCGGGTGTGCTTCCCATTTCGCTGGCATGAATACAGTGCTGAGAGGGTGCTCTTGAGCTGGTGGGCTTACCATTCGCAGGCATGGATACAGTGCTGAGGGGGTGCACTTGAGCGGGTGTGCTTACAACTTGGCTGGCATGAATACAGTGCTGAGAGGGTGCTCTTTAGCTGGTGTGCTTACCATTCCCAGGCATGGATACGGTGCTGAGAGTGCTGAGCGGGCGCCCTTGAGACCATTTGCTTGGGAAACGAACGCAAACATCCCCCCCCCGCCCCCACCCGGAAAGACGCAGGGCCGACCTGGGGCAGCAGCCTGTTTGCCTCGGGAAACAAACCCCCACCCCCCCCAGAAAGCGTATGGTGGAGCCCCAGGCAACAATTAACGATACCCCCCCATGGACCCTGGTTTGGTGTGTTTGACCTGTATTTTTTCCAGTGTTGTGTGCCTTTTTTGCTTCTTGCATTTGTGTCAAAATTAGGGGTGTGCCGTATGTGTGTATGATATGTATGCATGCATACATATGTGACAAAAGCGATGACGTCAGCATCTGCAATCAAGAGTTTTGAATACATCCAAGAGTACTAGAACAACTCAGAAACTGCTTAAAAACATTAAAAATATCTTATTCAAGATTCAAGAATCTGACAAAAATATTTTCTGAGAAAGTATTTTCTGGCAATCTTGAATCTTGAGTCGCAGAATTTCTAGAAAAATATAAATTTAGGTTTGTCGCAATACTCTCGGTGTTCAATAAGGTTCTCGGAAAAGCTTTCCGTGGAATATGGTAAAATACTCTCGAAAGTTCAGAACAACTTGATCGTTTTTAGGGTTTGACCAGGATGGATGATTCTCAGGAAAGTTGTTGGTTGTGCAATCCTCGATATTAAATCCTCAATCCAGTGGTAAAGCACTTTCAAGTGTGAGAAGAACTTGAATATTCTCTGGGTTTGGCCAGGATTGACAATTCTCAGGAAAGTGTTCCGTGAAATCTTCAATTTTGATTTTTTCCATCCAGTGGTAAAATACGTTCAAGTGCTTAGCGATCTAGTGGAAACACTTTCAAGTTTTTTTTTTGCTAGACAAACTTTCAAGTGCTTTTGGTGAGCGGTTTGCTTCATGTTAGCTATGACGCATGTTGCCCTTTTCCTGGCGGTAAACAAAGGTAGGCGTAATGCTCAACAAACACGGTTTTTTGCAGTATTGTATGAAGAAGCGCAGGATTATTAGGGGTACTATATATGTGTGTATGTCTGTAGAAGTATATATATATATATACATGTATGTATGTTCACACACCGTCAACCCCCCCTCCTCAACTACCTCTCCACATTTGCTCATCTACTACCGCCACCCTTTGAGATAGAATGAATTTTGTTTTACTGCGCTAGAATCCCTGTGTCGAAATGGTTTTAGAATTTGAACCTCTCTTCCCTTGAAATTTTCTTTTGGAACACCGTCTAACAAGTTTAATTTCGGACCTTTCTTGTGCTGCAAAAGGGCAAATAACGCAAATCGTATTTCAACTTCGCTCGTAGGAGTCTCTTAAATGTTTAGCCATATTGAATATGAACCATATTTGAGAAGTGGTCTCTACTTAATTGTTATTATCAAAAGCTACTTGAGTTGTGTTCGTATTAGATTATATCCTATCTAACTTCTTTTGTTGAAGATTAGTTGGGGTTTGCCCGAAACTATTATACTTGTATTCTCGTGCTATTTGGAAAGGAATTGCTTATATAAGCTGTAGTTGAGCAATGTTGAGCATAGCACATCTTCGAAAACTATATCCTAACCAAATTATATTCAAAATTCGAAATTTCGAGAACTTAAATCTCGAGTTTCTAGATTTACCATCCCAAGAAGCAGCAAAACCAAGGTCCATGGAGGGGGTGGCATACATATATCATTTTTATGACTCCCAAGCTTCGGAGCACCGATGGTGTGAGCTGCTGGAAGAGCGGGCGCCAAAAGGGCGAACCCTGGAAGGAGATCACGGAGGAGTTGTAGCCTCGAAAGCTGACTCTTCCTGCTGCGGATGGTTGCAAAATCCATTTCTTAGGCGCCACCTCAGAATTGTTGGTTTCTGATTCGATTCGTTCTGATGATTTTCCCCTGAAAATACCAACCAACAGTGGACTCCCTTGGATTCAAAGCGGTGCGAAACGGAGTTCGCAACCATCCACAGTATGGATGGGCTGTTCAAGAAGAAGCGTTTTGGACACAACATGTGTCACATGTCAAGGTTTTGTGATCCCCTGAACTAAAACAAGCTGGGATCTCCGTTTCTTGACCCCCTGCTGCAACTAATTGACTGGCTGACGTTTAATTAATGGGATAAATTCGGACACCCAACCACCAGACCAACAAACAATCTTTCAAAGTTTAGGGGATGGCTGAGAACCCCCAAGCCAACTGACCCTTCCTATGGATTGCCAAAACCCCACGCCGATCGGCAGGTGGCGAAAGCCGTCCGCACTATGCTTCACAGAAACCAGGATGAAAACGCCCCCGGCTCATCAAGGGGGGTTGCTAAAGGCAAAACCGTCCACAAGACCAAGAGCCCTACACCACCCCCAACCACTTTTAGGACGGGCCCTAATTCATTCTCTTCATTCCTGGAAGTGATGTTTAAAACCACCCCGCAGCGCACCATAAGAAACCCGCTGTTTTCCCCAAGCTACCCTGCGACATTCAACATGTCTTCCAGGAAGGCCACACAACTTTGAAGGACCCCCTTTGAGTGAAAGACATGGCATAGAAACAGAGGTGTCCAGAGTAAGTTTGCATGGGAAGCATGGGGTTCTGTCAGCAACCACTTCCAAGAGAGCCAAGCCTCTCGTTTTGTACATTGCTTACACGCATGGATTCTGGTCAGCCCATGAGCTCATTGACAGGCCCCGTCAAGCTTTGATGGATGCTAGTCATTCCAAAAGTGCGGCTTGGCAGCGGCTGAGTCTACTTTGCCTGAAGCTGCCTGGGAACATCTGGGTACTGGCTCAGCGCTATACATTGCGGCGAGGTACGTGCGCAAGCAGCAGCCTATCTGCCACATCCCGTTGCGCATGTACTCAGCAGCAATTGAGGAGGGTGCTGCCCTCCCTCTTGCTGGTCAGCTACCAAAGGCAACGGACAGTGCATAATACACAGCTCATACTGTCATAAGTACCGCGCTGACGCACCAACTGCTTTCTCGGAGCGGGCGGCATGAGTACCTTGTAAGGAGGAATGGCTGTCGATCTAAGGGTTGCTGTATTACACCCTGGGATTGCAAATGGCCCAAAATGGTTTAAAATGACACGATTGTGTCCCGGAAATATGCCTAAATGTGGTCATGTCCCAGTGGGCGTAATCCAGGACGTAATGCAAAAACCCTTAGAGTCGAAGTGCTTCTGCCTTTGAGGTGAACTTTGGTCCAAGACAACCTCCGGGCGCAAACCCGAAAGGTGGATGAATGCCGCGAGCGTGCTTGTGTGCGCGTGTCCGAAGGGGAGGAAAAGAGCACATTTTGGGGATAACATCAACATGCACCAGATGCAAGCCAAACTCCGAGAGCCACACCAGGACCAACAGCCGAGCTTGCATGTCATCGCTTGACTCAAGTCATTCAAGACCTCAGGCGTATGATCGCACTGGCCTGGCAATCTTGACTTTGTCGCTTAGATCGATTCTTTTCGAGTTTCGTGGGCCTTTCGGATCGCACGCGGCTAAAGACAGAAGGGCTGAATTTCCAGCGGGCTCCGGGATAGGATGACCTGGGAAAGCCCTTAGGTTCTTTTCGAGATGCCCTCTGCAGTCCCTTCGAGCCCAGGACAATTTCTAGGATTAGCGTCTGATTCGCGCCAGCATCTGATCGGTCTATTCCAGGATCAGACCCCAAAATTTGACAGGGATCCTTACATTACACACCTGAACATTGCCTTGTAAATGGTGGTTTCCTGGTGGAAAAAGCCATGTTTTCAACTGGGCAACATGTATCTTTTAAGGAGCCCTGTTTGAGGAATGGCAACTCTGAAAGGGGTCTCCTGCCGACATTCCCGACGACCAACCCCTGTTGGCTTCGCCTCCGGCAGCCAGCTCGCAGGCAATGCCGTCGGTGGCCAGAATTGCGAAGGGCCCTTCGTAGGCCGCCAAGGGGCCCAGGTCCTCTGTGGCAAGCACCGGATAATTTCGTAACTCATGGAAAACCCGTCTTTAAAACGTATGGAAGAAATCATCTCTACTCTTGGTATGGTAGCAAAAAACTGTGTTTTTTGCAGGCCCCCCAGTAAAAATGAACAGAACCAAAAAACTAAAAACTAAAAAACATGCCAAGAACAGTGAAGAAAAGCATGGCAACTTAGAGCTGCAACATGAGCATGGTGATGAACCTGGGACTCTTGCGCACAAACGTCGACTAAGTGTGACGTCATGGAAGGGAGGCAATGGCGCACACCCACACACCCACACACGCAAAGCTCTGATCATGGCATGAATACTCGAAACTTCAGTCTTAATTACATGCAAGCAGTTCAGATCCAACGCGACATCATTTGACACCTCGGGGAACCACCAAGTCCTGGCCCGCCCTGAAACGGACCCTCCATGAATGGCATGCAGTTGAACATTGTAAAGGCTGCAACAGCCCTCACTGGCAACGAGTGACACGCGCCGAGGCTCCCCAACGATCACCTGATCCAGGTCTAGGAAAAGCACTCCTCGGTTTCAGGGTCGGGCCATGGAACGTCGGGTGGATAAGCTGACTACCCGCACGAAGTAGTGCCGTTTTATGTGGTGCAGTGCGGCATGACGAACCCAAAGCTGTAAGTTGAAGCTGGCACCCGAGAGACAGCTGGCAGCATGCACGAAGCGGCACGTCCAAACTGCCCTCTGGAGCCAAGAGTCTCTTGCCATCTAGGCCTGCCTCCTCGCTGAAAAGGAACGCCTTCCCCCACCAAAGCGGCAGGTTATTCGGCAAAGTCTTCACCTCAATGTCCTCTGCCAAGCCAGTGGGGTCCTACGGGCGGACAAGTTGAACCTCTTAACAAAGGTGCGGCATCTCAAACATATGTCATAATGTGATTCATGCCCGGTCGAGCTGATCAAAGCAGGTGGGCAGTCTGACACGACACTCAGGGCCGATCGGAGCAGGCGTTGGCAACGCAGTTGGCGCCCACCCCCAGCCTCCGTGAAGCAAACAAACTGCGCTGGCTGCGACAAAGATCGCCGGCAGGCGGCGCAGAGTCGGTTCACGTAGTCGGCGTTGTATCCTGATGAATGTGGCCATTGGTAACGCAAACTTGCTCCAAGAGAAGCAGTGCCTCAAACAATGCAACACAAAGACATGCACAAATGCACACACACACACACAAACAATAAATATCAATATATATATATATATATATACATATCTATATATATACACAAATGCATATACATGTATGCATACATATTAAATATATATATATATATATATATACACTCGCATATGTATACATATCAGTGCATATTATCTAATGTAGAAGTCGAGGGATTCATAAGTTGCATGCATTTTCAACATCTAGACTTCAATCGTCCAGCATGCACCAAGTCGCACAAGAACCTGCGATGACACGGCGCGCATGCCTGCAGCTGGCAAGAAGCACTGGCCAATGTCTTGCCAAGCTTCGCTGGCCCCACTTCAGGCATGCGATGACAAGCTGCGACTCGCAGGGGGATGGGCGCCACTGTGCGCAGTTGATGGGCGGCGTCCGGATATCCTGAGTCTCCTCCAGGTTTGGCAGTTTGCCGTTTCTTGCCGGCTGTAGTGTTCAATGGCGCCAAACACGGTGCGACTGCCGAGATGTGACATTGACATTGGTGAGTTGCCGGCTTGGACTTCGCATATGGCCATACTAGTACGCACCGCCTCCTTCCGGCCACTGCTCTGCAAACAATCGACATGCTTTGGGGCAATCCCGGATGTGTTGGATGGCCGGATACGGCTAACTCGAATTGCATGGCTTCCCCCCCCCCAGAAAAAGAAGAAAAACAACAAGAAAAGAAAAATAAAGGTACAACCCCCCAAACAAAAATCCCCCCCAAAAAAATAGAAAAGAAAAACACACACACGCGCACACACACACACACACACACACACACACACACACACACACACACACACACGCACACACACGCACACACACACACACACACACACACACACACACACACACACACACACACACACACACACACACACACACACACACACACACACACACACACACACACACACACACACACACACACACACACACACACACACACACACACACACACACACACACACACACACACACACACACACACACACACACACACACACACACACACACACACACACACACACACACACACACACACACACACACACACACACACACACACACACACACACACACACACACACACACACACACACACACACACACACACACACACACACACACACACACACACACACACACTTAAACTCCAGATGGAGAGTGCTAATCTTTCGAGTACAACTGATGAGTCTCGAGTACAACCGATGAGTCTCGAGTGGGTGTGGGTTCGGCTCGCAATGCACTCGGTTTCACTCTAGTGTCGAAAACGTTACCAGTTCCAACATGAAGCACACACAGCGCCGCAACCAAGGGGCCAAATAGACATTCAGAATCACGCAAATGTTGCAGGTACACACGGGTGATCAATCCGTGCATCCACCATCAAGCATAGCTTCGTTGGCCAGCGTTTGCTTGATGGCCGCTGGCCCCCTGCTGAAAATCGGAAAAGGTGGTGACAGGGCATTCTGTCACTCCGCACACACACACACCCACACGCACACGCACACGCACACGCACACGCACACGCACACGCACACGCACACGCACACGCACACGCACACGCACACGCACACACTCACACACACACTCACACACACACAAGGCCTTCACCTCCGCTTCATGCTGCTGGATCTGTTGGCAAACCAGCTGCACCGCCTCTTCACGCCGGCCGAGGTTGCCTGGGCGAAGTGCCCGCTGCACATATTCCGAGGGATCACACCCGCCGCGGGTCTCATGGAGTTCCGGTGAGATCCAGCGTCAAATTGCACCAACAATAGTTTGTCCTACTCTGCCCCAGATTGGCGTGTTACCCTCCCACCAACTAACATGGAAGTGCAAAAAGGCCAACTAGCCAAGAGGAAAGTCGTCTTTCTAGAGGGGTCTGTGCACAAACCCATGTTAGCTGGTGGGAGGGTAGTGTCGCCGGGCGAGTTATTCCTGGGTTGCTTGTGGTTACATACGCCCAGAAGCCCTCACGGCAAAGCTGCCCGAGCGATGGACAAACGCATGGCAATCCCCCGATGCCGAGCGCAGGTGTGTTTCCATCCGGGTGGCCTCGGCTTGGGCCATTGCTGGCTTCCAGGCTGCGATCGAAGTCCGAACATGCCTGCCACCTCACAAACATATGGCGCATCCCTGTTCCTGCAACGGCTCATCATGACTGGATGCTCCGTGTGTGCCACTGGAGCTGCTTTGCTTATTTCAGGGGTAGGGTGGTTTATTTCAAGTTATTATTCTTGCTTGGGGGGAGGGAAGGAATGCTAGTGACGTATCAGACTACGCCGGTGCCTACGCCAAATACCATAAGGGTGTCCCCCGTTTCACACACTCACACTTATACACAAAGGGTTCCGTTTTGGACTTTTTCCCAGGTAGACTTAAACCCAGGGGTTTCCCTTTTGGGGTAATCACCCGCCCCTGGGTTTAAGTCCACTTTGGGGTTGTCCATTTTGCCAAAATCACCCAGGGCATCCGAGTGGCGAAGGGCGTTTGCCAGGTTCATGACAGCCTCCCGGCTGCCGGGCTCCAACGCGAGGGCATCGCGACAAAGCTTCTCGGCCTTCTGAAAGTCCCCGAGGCCCAAGTAGACCCCTGGCCAAGCCGAGCCAAACGCGGCGCCGAGAAAAATGGCTTGTGGTTTCTTGGGTTTTCCCCCCCCCTCCAAGCTCATGCTCAAACAACACCACCCCTGCGGCACGCAAGTGGCACCCAGCCTGCCAGGTTGATCAAGGCCCCCACCATCTTTGGGCAAAGGCGGACCGCAGCTTCCAGCTCCTCGGCGGCCTGGACACGCGACGCACAGAACTGCAAGGCACTTCAGCCAGGAGCCGGCGGTCAAAGAGTTAGTGGTGGCCTCTCCCGTCCGCATTTTGCCATCCGGTCCTAGGGTCCCCCCCACACTTTTGGGCACATTCTGAATACACCCACTAAAACAACCTATTTTCAACATTCAAATTCAATCACCCAACCAATCCAACTCCAAAAACACATATTCACACACCCCTCTTCATTTCTTACCCCATCTCAACATCACCCCTATGTTCATTCAATAACAACAATCATAACTACATACCACCTCAACAAATCCCACCAAAAAAATCCAAGCTACATACCAACATTTTTTCACTCCCAAGATCGCAACCCCAAGATCTCAATAATTCCTCCCTTGATCCAACCTGAGACCCTTTCCCATTTCCAACAAATACGAACAGTCTAAAAAAGAACCCTATGTTCGCCCCGAAAAATGGTTAACCAATGGAAAAGGGAGAATTAAAACCGTTAACCCAAATCTTGAAAACTCACATCAACAAAAAACAAAGCAACATACCAACAAAAAATATCAGAAGAGTATCAAACAAAATAAAAACAAACAGCCAAAGTACGAAAAAATCAAAAGAGCATACCAAGTTCAAACAACGCACTTTGAAAGAGATAAGACATTTTAGGAAACATGCCATGACATGTTGCATAGTACACATAAGAAACAACATTCTCACACATTTTCCATCTCAAGCGCCGCTCATCCTCGCGGACTTCTCTCTTCATCAAGTGCGCCACCGCAGACTGACAGAGTGCCTGAGTTTTTGGTTTGATGCCTTCTAAATGTTACTGTATGTAAAATGGTGTGTTGAAGTGTCAAGAGAAGTCAAGAGCAACAGAACCACATTGCCATTTCTGCTATAGCATTTTCTTGCTCAGATTTGCAGTTGTTCCCGCTTTCAATCTGTGGTCATGGTGCTCATCTTTGTGCGGGCTGGGACAGATGAGGTTCGTGCATTGGACGTTCGTGCAGGGGAAATCATCAGTTTGGGTGATATCGCTTCCAACTGCATTGACAAACCATCTCGTGAGACCATGATGAGTATGACAAAAGACCAACTTCTTGGAGCGGTGCGTGGATTGAACATGCGCATCACGAATGAGAAGAAGGCGACCAAGGCAACCATCGTGGATTTGGTGCTCAACTCATGGGAGAGCAAAATCATGCCCAGGGCTTCAGTTGCTACATCTTCGAGTTCTGTCCCTGTGTCCGTGCCTCTGGTGTCTAATGAGGATGGAGAGCCTTCGTCTGGGAGCATCGTTGAGGTCTTTGACAGCAAGAAGTTCCGCGAGCAGGAGAAGCAGTGTGCAGAGGGTGAGACATGGACGGAGGACGATGAGGGGACATTCAACTTGCTGAAGAAGTTGAACAACAACCCCCTTGGTGTTTGTGTGGATACCGATATCTTCCAGAAGTTGAAGCAGAAACGAGACCGATGCTTTGACAAGGGAGAGACCAGCAAGGAGAGCAGGGACACGGATGATGAGGAGGACACTGATGAGGAGACGATTTACAACTTCTTCACACTCCCTGACAGTTACCTGAAAGACCCTTCTTGCTTCAACAAGGGAGAGACAATCATGACTCTGAACTTCCTTGAGTTTAAGGGTGACCGCTTGTTGTCGGCAGGCATCCACACAACTGAGACGACAGCATCCGAGGTTAAGGAGTTGTTCATTGAGAACATCAAGGAGGTGGCAATCAACAACTTGTGCGCCTTGAACCCTGAGGACTTCTTCCTTCGTTGCAATGGCTTTAAGATGGATGGTGAGACCACCCTTGAGGATTGCATGGTTGACCACACAGGGTGTGAGCTTGACATTACAATCATCTTGCGGTTGAGGGGCGGTGGCAAAGCTACACCCATCAAGAAGGATCAGAAGACAGCCCTGACAAAGGTAAAGGTGCAGTCTTTGGCAAACAAGTTGGGGCATGTGGAGGCATCCACTTTGGTTCCTCCAGACTTGGTGTCTCGTTGCCATGCAGTGTATGGAACCTTGACCACCAACACCGACCCATCCTACCTACCCAACCTGATTGACAACATGGGCAAGGAGCAGGTCACAAAGTTTAAGGACATTCTAAAGAATGACGACGGCACAATCAAGCGCATCCAGATAAACAACCTCGGCATTGTTGCCCCTTTCTTCATCAAGGAGTTGCACGAGACCAAGGCGGTGATTACCAAGCTGGAGGACATTGTCAATCTTTTGACCTGCCTTTTTGAGCACCAATACACTGTGAGCTTCTTCGGCGACGGGCGCTTCAACCATGACTTGGCCAAGTTGGTGGATGACCGCTTGAAATTCATCAACAAGCGTGAGAGTGAGAACTGTCAGAACAGTCCAGATGTCAATATGAGCGGTAGTGGGTAGGCATTTTGCAAGTCCAAGAGGGACAGACATTGAGGGGTTCATTACCTGTCTTTTGCGTAATCCTGACAGATGTTGACAACCCTTGCTCAAGCGCACAAGCCGGAAAGAAAAAACATGGTTTCTTTTCTTTTATTGTTGCAAGTGTCATTTGCAATTGTTGCAAGTGTCATTTGTAATTGTTGCAAGTTGCATTTGCAATTGTTGCAAGTTCCAGTTGCGTTTCTTGCAAGCGCCTTTTGCATTCCTTTATTTACAGTCATTTTTTGCACAGGGAAAGCATTTTTAACACCTTGTTAATGCCACTTGCGCAGGTATGACGACCGAGTTCCCGCTCCAGTGCCTCGGGATGTGTTGGGTCGTGGTTCTGGGTCGCGTTTCGCCCTTGCCTTTACGTTTTGTTTTTTCCTGTGTAGGTATCTTCATCGTCTTCTTCGCCTACGAGACCGTGCCCTACTAGGTAAGGACTTGGCTGGGAGGCTTTTTTTTCCTGGGGCGGGGTATATATATATAATATAAGGGGAAACTCTCGCCAATTTTTCCCTGCCATGTTTGGCAATTGGCGAGAGTTTCCTGATATATCTATATGAATATTAGCGTATTCCAAATTTGATAAACTATGGATTATCCCCTTAAAAATCAAACCTTCAGAATCTCTGACCTCAAGTAGGGGCGGTTCATCCCTTCAACAGAATAATAATCTTGACCAAGTTTTTTTTCAACCCTTGAAACCTTGTATTTGACACTGCTCCAGTTGCTCGTTCTTTCTTTCTCGGAAATCCCTTTTTTGCGGTATATTTTGACCTCATCACCAACCCTAACAGGGGGATATTTACGGGTTTTGATTCTGTTCATCTCAAGTTTCATCTTGACCTCAAGATGGTTTTCCTTTTTGTGGGCGTCACGTGGTGTCATGCCATGTGCAGAATGAACCATTTTACTGTTGTATGTCAGCATGATCTCGGGGATATAATCAACCCATTGTATATTAACCTTTCCCCTTTTCTCGTCTGCGTCAACCCTCTTGAAAAGCATGTCCTTGAACGTGCGAATGAAACGCTCGGCGAAATGGGGGTGCCCTCGTGTTTTATAGTTTTGGATCCCTTCGTCCTTGAAAAAATCAACAAGATCTTGGGTATTGAGACTCCCCTCGTCATCCGAATAAATTAATTTGGGTTTCCCTCCCATTTTGTTTAATGCCTCCATGATCCCAGCCGTGATGTCGGCAGGTTGCTTGGATGCAATAGGCACCACCACGGCTTTGCGGGAAAATACATCAATAAGCAATAAGCCTATCCTATATTTTTGATTATCTAAATCATTTTTTGATATAAAAAACAGATCCAATTGATATTCAAAGTTGATATCAGGGGCAATAAACGAATTGTATCCAGACAGTTGTTTTTTCCGTTCCACGTTCTCTTGAAACCACTCCTTGACATCTTGCATTGTTATGGATGCATCTTTCTTTTTTGCATCTTTGTAAGTGGTGGCGATGCTACCAAACCCAGCCTGATCGTAGTAGACCTCACTGATTATCTTGTCTTTTTCACTCATATATATAAATAATACTATAAAATAAATATCAATATGTTATTTTATCACTGAAGCATCTATTACAAGAAGCACAGAAGGCAATGACATTATCCTTTGTATGGGGAAGATCATTACATAACCTTTGACAAGTCAGATTAGAATTTATATTGCCAGAATCCATTGACAACACGAAACCACAGCCACAGTTGGCACACTTGCCATTGACGTTGTCCTTCAACCATTCGGCATCTACATAATTTTCTTTTGGAATACCAAAGCCATTTTTACGATCCTGTTCCTTGTATGCTAACACCTTTCTATCAAAATAATTCATAATGCATTTTGCGTTAAACTCTTCATTTAAATCACTACTGTATTTGTAAAATTTTACTCTGTTTAAATCCCTTGCCCGAGTGATTCCCGTCCAAAGCCACTCGCGAGTTATCAGATGATGGTTCCAATCAAAAATGGTGACATCGTCATCAATGGAACACCCCTGAACAGAATGACAAGTATAACAGAAGGCAAAGATAAAATGACTTCTCAAGATACCAATATGTAATGTAATCTCTTCTCGTGTTTTGATATTAGCAATGGTAATCCAAGGATCGGAAATATTAATTATCTCATACCTAAAATTCACATTTAACTTATAGGTTTTTGTCTTCCTATACTCTCTGCATATCATGATCTCGCCGACTTCAAACTCATTTTGTTTGCCCTGTCGTTTTCTGATCTGCCTTGAAACCTCTCTACAAGTGTTATTTAAATATGCGACATTGCTTTCTGTTCCTGTGATGTCATCAGTATATTTAAAATACTTATTGATGACATCATGTAGAGACAACTCATGCTCAAAGATGTCGGCATAAATACTTTTAAGTTTATCCTTGTCCTCCTGAGTCTTCAATCGCTTGCACTCTTCCAAAAACAAATGATGAGGAAAAATGCTGTCAATACATTCATTCATATAAATCTCGTGTTTCTTAGTGTTAGTCAGTGCTTTTATGGGGCTCAACTGCTTGGCGTCACCGGTTGCCAACATTATTTTACTG